CTGCAGGCGTGCCAGTGGAATGTGAGTCAGAATGGGGTTGTGACCAATTTAATAGTTGGAAAAAGTTTTCTGTTATAGTTTTAATTTGCGGTTGTGGGAGTGAGATTGAGCATCTTTTCAAATGTTCAGGAGCTGTTTCTATTTCCTTATTTTCCTGTTGGGATGTTGACCTTTTTCTTGTTGGTTTGTATCCCTTATATATTCTTTACCTATCAGAAATTTACCTTGTCATCTATAAAGTGTTACCTCCTGGGAAGAATGGAAGATAAGTGTCCCCTTTTGGGAGAAGTGCCGGAACCCGCTAGGTACCCTTGGGATCTGTTTTGGAATCAGTTTGTGGATGGGGGTCCACAGGGACTTCTCTAGTTAAGTTCTTGTAAATATCACCTTAAAGGGAAGATGTTTGATGAAGTGTCCAGCCCGTTGCTTGACATAAGTCTCTGCCCAGCCAAATGTTAGCTGTCACCATCACCACCGTCATGGGACACGTGTGGGAGCAGGAGCACATACAAAAAATGGTTTTGAGTGTGGGCCTGTGACAATCCACCCAGCTCATTAGGTTAGGTGCCAGGAATAGGGAGAGATGAGCCACCTTCTGGCTCTTCTCGAACAGCAAGTTGTGCTGGGGGACAGGCTCCAGAGACACACCAGAATCCTGAGCTTGCTCTGGCTGCTGCAGCCCCAGGACTCCCCGGTCCCTCCCCCTGCCCCCCGCCCTGAGACAGCTGAAGAAGTTAATTTATTAGGCTGTACCAAGAAGACACAGACTGTGTAGCGCAGGTGAAGGAGCCATGTTTTCGGCAGCAATGTTGGTTACTCCAGATGACTTTGCTTGCATGTGACCACTGGGTGTTCCCCAGGGGGCTGTTAAGTTCAAAGAGGCACTGAAAGCAAGATTAGGGGCTTTGCTGCCTCCATCAGCTTGTGTGTTGCTAGTGTTACCTTAGGTCTTCAGCTGCTTTTTGCGGGGAGTCAATCTAAGACTGACAAGCTCTATAGGTTTAGCATATGTTGTATTATACTCACTTTGATTTATTTTTTATGGTAGTTTGAGATTTCAAATGATATTGAAAGTAGTTGGTAAATTTTATGTTCATTAAAAAGGCAGTTGAGTTAAAGAATGGGAAATACTAATCTTGATATCTTTCTTCTTTATTTAAAGCACATTTTAATTATGGAGTAGATATGGATACCAGTGGATATAATCCTCCGTGTGTGTGTGTGTGCGCGCACGCGCGTGCGTGTATAGAGTGAGAATAGTGTGTTACCTTTTTATTAAAAGAATAGAAAGCAGTTAATTTGGGGAACTTTATTACTACTTGGAAAAAGACTGTGTTAGTATAAATTGGTTCACTTAGCTACTGGACACATGACAGTGGAAGGTGGATTATACCTATGTAGATGCTAAATTAAGTTCTGAACCCTCTGATCAGAGGAATGGGGTTTCTCAGGTACTTTGTAGCCTTCACCTTACAGATGTCCACAGCCCCCGATTCACTTTAACTTGTGTTTGAGTAAACAAGTTACTCGTTCCATCGTTACTTTAAATTGGCATTATTGTGATATTGGCATTCAGCGAGTCACTCGGTGGCTATTGCTCCTGTTACACTCCTGCTTCCTGTACATTTGACCATTTCAGGATTATTATTCAGAAACACACACTTTAAGCATTATTGTCTTAACTTAGATGAAATAAAGCAACAAATACATTCTGTTTATTGAGCAATAGCAATAGAGACTCCTATACCCTAAGGCAACATAGCCCTCAATATTGGAGACAAAATCAACTGGATAAATGTAGGCAGAGAAAATCTGCTTTCATAGCTGATTGAGTGATTGTATAATATTAGTTTGGGGGGAAATTTTAAAGCCACAAGTTTGGTTTTAAATACTTTGGAGGGGAGAAAGGACTACTTGTTCCCAAAGGTTTTTTAAATCTGATATATGTATTCTTATAAAAACTTGATCAATTTCCTGAGACGAAAGATGCCAAGATTCTCCTCTGTTATCTGTGATGCTATTAATAACACAAAAGAAAACCCATTTTTATTAAGTTTGAAAGCTTTCCAAGACATCTTTTATTTCCCAGTTGAAATAATATTTAGAGATTCAAAGATGTGAAGCTTTGATAGTGTCAGGAACATTTTTTGTCTTTTTCTCTTAAAGTTTATGTCTTTTTTGAAGAACTGATTGTAACATTTGAATTTTAAATTTTAAATTTAAAAAAAAAAAAAAAGACTATCAGAATAGCTCACTTAATAAACCAGAGGAAAAGTTGTAGTAAAACAAACTAGAGTTTTACTCTCTGGTGCCCTGATGCATTCTGCGTTCAGTCAGAATTAACCCTGCACCCACTCTGGTTGGAACTCCCCGTTGGGCAGAGAGAGTATTGCATCCTCATTGCCTGAGCACAGCAGGTGCTCAAACAGGGTTTGTTGAAAGACTATGTGAGCCTTTTCCTAGCCTGAGGAGCATCTGCATTTTATAGTACTTATTTGTGTGTGTGAATAGAATTACTAAGGGGAGGAGTGGGAGTTGCTAACTCCTTCCAAAATTTCCTCTTTGGTGCCACATACATAGATTTAAAAAATATTGAGGTGAAATTTACACATCAAAATTAACAATATAAAAGTGAACAGTTCAGTGACATTGAACATATCCACAATGTGTGCAACCATCACCTCGGTCTAGTTCTCAAACCTTCTCATCACCCCAAAAAGAAGCCCTGTTTCGATGAAGCATTTGCTCCCTTTGGCAACTGGTGATGAACGTGGGCGAAGGTTACTCTTAGCTGGGACAGGATTTTAAATCAGTTTTGGGTTTCTCTGATGATTTAGTAACTAAACACTGTTTTAAGTCAGTTCATCCTGAGTGTTTGTACCTCTTGGCTTCTCAGTGAGTTGAGTGCTGCTGTGATAAGACTTGGAGCATGGTTCTAATAGTAAGTTAGAGTTTTGTGTTGTGGACTTGATCTTGGCTGGGAACCTGTAGCCTGCTGGCAGCTAGTTTTACAAACAAATGCCACAAACCCAACTGGCTTGCATAAAAAGCTGCAACATGTTAGAGATAGTTTTAAAAGTAACTCTTTATTTGATGATATAAGAAAATTTTGCCCTGTAAGAATTATGTACCAGTTAATTGGGAAGTTGGCTTACTTTAAAACTAGCTTCAGACTTGAGTTATAATGTCTGTGACCTTGAATGAGAAATTAAATTTTTCCCTGGCCTGATTTCCTCAACTACAAAAATGAGTGCATTAAATCTCTCTGGACCCGCACAATCCATGCTACACTGCTTGAATCTTTGGTCTTTTTAATTTCTTCATGTTGTAAAAATAAATTGTCCTCATTATAGAAAATTACCGACATATATAAAGGTAAAAAGAAAGCAAAAATGGCCCCTCTGATTAAAGACAGCTACTGTTAATATTTTGGTGTACATCTTTTTTATTCATTTTAAAAAGCAATATATGAATAACACACATACATACTGATACTGGTTATAAAAGATCTAAATGCTAAAGAATGTTTGGGAGTGAAAAATGAAAGGTGCCCAGCCTTATTTCTTTTCCCTGGGAGAACTTTCATCCTAGTTTGTGACTTTTCTGGATCCTTTACCAAGCAGGGAGGTTATTAAAATTTTATTTTATGTTTTTAGCCTAGTAAGATAATTCTAGGCTTACTGTTTTGTGATTTTTGGGGGGCAGTATTTCTTAGAGTTCTTTCTTTGTCTGTACACCAGTTTTATTATTTTTATTGGGTGAATATTATTCTTGAAGTGGATACACCATAATGTAAAAATGTCTATCTTTTCGATGAACATTTAGGTTGTTTCCGAGTATCCAGCATTTTAAATCATGCCGCAGGCGTTAACCTTGAATGTACATACCACTTGCATGGATATTTCTGAAGGATAGGTTTCTATGAGTGTAATTGCTGGCTCCAAGAAAAGGCCCGTTTTAAATCCCAGTGCTTAGTTGCCTTTCACAAAGGCCATTCCACCTAGAGCATAATCTCTCTAATAACTTAGAGTAGCTTTTACCTCACACCTACCTTGGTCAGTACCAGATTCACCTTAAAATTTTTCTCTAATTATGTTAAAAAATGAGATTTTAATGGTCATTTCTATAATTTTCGATGAGATCGAATAGCTTTTTGTGTGTTTTGTCGGACATTGCAGTTTATTTTCTGTGAATTGTATACTACCCTGTGCCTTGGATTGCCCTTGGATTGTTCGTGTTATGGGTTTGCAGGTGTTCTTTATGAAATTTTAATACTAATCTTTTGTTATGTGTTACACTGTATGTTCTCTTAGGCAATCACTTGTCTTTTACTTCTCTTTATTGTAATTTACAGTACCAGAATTTAAACTTTTTATATACTTTGCCTTTTTTAATATATATATTTTAAAAATGTAGTTGTGCTATTATTCATACGTATATTATTTTCTGTATTATTTTTTTCAAGACAGGCAGCAGTACTCATGGCCACTGTGCACCTCCTAGGGAGGCATCATTAGTAAGTTAGGTGAATGGCAGTGCGTGAGTGCTGTAACTAGCACGTTTCCTCCTTGTAGGGATGACACAGTAGACATCGTTATCATCAGGCTTTTACTTGGAAAGGAATCTTAACCAAGTCAGCTCAGGATGCCTCTTTCCCACTCAAACAGCAGCTTTTGGGCCATCAGCCAAGCCTTTCCTGCCACTGGAGGGTGCCGGGGATCCTACTCCTTGTAGTTTCTTTGGACGTTCCATTCCTGGTCTCCCTCCCTGGGTCATGCGGTATGTTTCTCCTCCATCAAAAACACATGCAAGGTCACTGATGAAGCACATGTTGGTTGGGAGTTTCATTTAAGAACTCCCCAAACTTGGCTAATTCATTAGGTTAAAAATGTACAGTTTTTGTCTCTTATGAGGACTACAGAAGACTTTAGGGGAAAATATTTCCATACAGCAGAGAGGTATATGGTGAAACAGCCTCTAAATGGAGTGTTTCTCTTCAGGTGGTGATAAATGGAGGTGCCACATCCAGTGGTGAACAAGACAATGAAGACACCGAGCTTATGGCGATTTACACGACAGAAAACGGCATCGCAGAAAAGGTATCCACTTATGTCACCCCTCCCACTCCCCACCGCCACCGTCTCAGGTCCCATGCAGGAGCTGTGTCCTTCATCTGGGGTTTCGTGTCTACCCTCCTGAGTGGGTGTGGGTTTGTATGTGGGTGTTCTTTTTATAATGGAAATAAAAGGAGTGATGAGGAATAGAAGTTACTAATTTTTGTCTTCATGGCAGATAAGGCGAGTCCTATATAAGAGTTCTTTATATATTTATTAAAGCCTTAGCCAGGATGCCAGAGGGAAGTGATTAAGAGTTTGGGTCTGGGGGCTCTGTGACACACCCTGCAGGAATTACTCTGGGCATCAGTTGCTTCACCTCTGAAATGAGACTAAACATACCAGCATTCGTCTTAGGGCTGTTGTGAGAATTAAATGAAATAATACATGTAAAGTGATTAGCATTGTCTGGTACACACTACATACCAGTGACCAAAGGAATGAGTGAAACCAGCAAGTAGTTTTTGTAGAGTTATGAAAGTGCCTTTGACAAAACTCTTTGACCAAAGCAATGGAAATCACACACTAACTTGGGAGAATCTTTTTTTGCCTCTTCCCATCTCGACAGGAGAGAGCTGCGCCCAAAGATGGTCCAGATGCCTGGATTTATTTTTCCTTTGTCTCTACCACCGTGCCTAACATGTGCGAAAATTATACAAAGCTAAGAAAATAATTGAATCATACCTTGTAGTTGCTGCTCTCCCATTTTCTGATATTTATGTGGCTGTGAAGAAATCAAGCCAGTCTTTTTCTTCTTATCAATGTCTTGATCTTTTTTGCCTATCTTACAGATTATTTATCTTTGATATTCAATAACTTTACTTAGATATGCTTTGATGCTGACCATTCTGGGTCAGTTTTTTCTGGCACTTCCAATATTTAACATCAAAGCTCCTGTTACTTTAAAAAAAGCTGCCTTAAATTATATCTTTATTTTTTGTTCTAGTCTATTCTTCTGGGTTTCTTGTTTGAGGGCTCTGTGTGTATTTTGGATCTCCTCTGGCGGCCGTCTCTAGCTATCACTTTTCTCTAATTTTGTTTTCCTCTTACATTGTATTCTCTTTTTTCATTTCTAGTCTGTGACCCTTCTTTTTTCATGTCATTTTTTTCTCTTGTTCTCTTAGCACTTTCATTTTTTTTTCTTCTACTTCTGTCCAAATTCTGCCAACTCATGTTTTATTTCCCTTTGTCTTTACATTTCTGTTTTAAGGTCTTCCTTAATACAATTGATGGTTTTGAGTTTTCAAAATATCTGAATATTTTTTCATTAATTCACTGAGTACTTAGTGGGTCTTTCTAATTTGTAAACATGTTTTTTAGTTCTTGGAAATTTTTTTCTTTATTATTCCTATATTCTGTTTTCTTTGTTCTATACTTCTATTTCTGTTATTTTGGGGAAATATCTTTGACTTTTAGCCCTTTTGAATTTTTTTTCTGTCTTGATTTTAGTTTCTGAGACCTTTTACGGTTTATTTTTGTTTTTATTTACTAATTAAAGCTTTTTAAAATGACGTCTCTTTTTCTCCTAGGTTCAAAATATTTTTATTTTTGTGAAGATACAGGTTTCTTTTTTATTTTTAACATGTTCTCTTCTCCATTGGCCTTATTTCCTGTTTCTTTGGCTCTTTTAGAGGCTTCCTTCATTGTCCCAGGGTTGTGAAGTAATAAAAAATAGGATTGCTGGGTCATTGTATGTGAGTGAAGCTTGTCTACTGGTGGGCCTTGCCCCCGAACAACCAGGTGGAAAGCTGTCTTGTCACTGTGGGGTCCAGATGCAACGTATTGTTTCTAGGGCCGATCACAGTTCCTCTAGAAAAGAATTTTCTGGTCTCCTCCCACAGTTCCTCTAGAAAAGAATTTTCTGGTCTCCTCCTCCCTCTGTAACCCGGCTTCTGGTGCTCTGGAAGCAGACGAGGATCCCACCGTTCATGTTTGCATTTAAGCCCACATCGTATCCCTGAATCTGAAGTCTTTCTGGTTTATATTCTTCAAACAGTACCTTGTGTGTCTTGAAGAATAAGGACAGCAGTAGGCAAGAGGATGTCTGATTGGATTGTGGAGTTAAAAATCTATCTTCTTCCCATCCCCATTCTTTCTTGTACCTTCAAGCATAGAACCTTTCTGGGCTTCTGTTGGTCAGCCAGCTCACTTCTTTATACTCTCCTTCTATAAGCACTCAGGTTGTAGATTCGTTCTCTCTCAAATGGATCACAACTCATGTGAATGCTTTACATATTCCAGAAATATATGAATCTCATTTTTCTTTCTCCTGTTCCTCTTCATCCTTCTAGGTTTGTGTCATATTTATTCCTTCTTTGAGCTTTTAAGAGTTAGCGAAAATGAAAAGTGGTTCATCTACCATGTTTAATTGGAACTCAAAAGCTGGTTCTTTAAAAAAACTGATGGAGGTATAAGAAATGTATAAGAGAATATTAGCTGTGACTTTATAATGATCAATTTGAAACTTTATAGCAGAGGTTGGCAAGCTACATCCTGCAAGCCAAATCTGGCAAATAAAATTATTTTTGATCACAGTCATACTCATTTGTTTACTATTGTCTAAAGTTCTTCTGCACTACAGTGGCAGAGTTGAGCACTTATGACAGACCCATTATGGCCCACAGAGCCTAAGATACTATATAGACCCTTACAGAAAGTGTTTGCTGACTCCTGCTCTAGAGGAAATTATTTCCTAGAGAAGAAGCACTGCAATGAACCCTCAAAGTGCTAGACTAGATAAATAACCATAGATGAGATCAGGAAGGTTATTAATGACTTTAAGAGGCTCCAACCAGAGAACTGAGTTCTGAGTTCACTAATCTATGAAGGACAGGCAATTTCCTTGTTCTTTAGATTATTTCAGACCATAGAATAAGATGTAAACGTCTTTCTAAATGACATTGTTAAACTATTAATGCAGTCCTCTTTTAAAGAAACCTTGCCTTTGGAGGTTCTTGTTTTGGCAGTTTTTAAAAATGGTTCATATTGTTCATGCAGTGATAACTGAATGTAGTACCCTAGCTCCCAGTGACCAAACGTGCTCCTTCTTCTGTCTCAAGGAAGGGCAATGTGGCATTGTCTGACAGTTAATTGATCCCCTTGACCACACAGTTCCCTACTCAATGTCATCTTAATGCCATTTGTGAACATTTACATTAGTTCCATTGCTGTGTTGTAGAACCACCTCATTACTGAGAGAGGGAGGGAGGGAAAGAGAGAGAGAGAGAGAGAGAGAGAGAGAGAGAGAGAGAGAGAGAGTGTGTGTGTGTGTGTGTGTGTTTACACGTCTTAATTTTAGCCTGAGAGAGGACAGATTCACTCTTTAAATTTCTGTTCATTAAAACAGTAATTAAAACTAGCTATTTTGGAATTATTAGAATAATATTGCTCACAATATTATTGTAACAGGTCATACTAGTCTATTAATCGTAGTGTTACTGTATCTATTTGCAGTTATTTCTCTTCGTTACGTTGTGAGCAGCCATACTCCCTACTTGTAAGACTGTAGATAACATGATGGTATTGAATTGTCCTTTGTATAGAGAGTCTAGTATTCATAGTTGCATCATGTCAGCAAAATGGTCACCAGAGATTTCCAGGACCCAAGTTCGGCATTTTCAAATCAGGTTCAGGGATTTGCTTAGGATTCAAAGAATTCAGAAAAACTGTAACACTCATGGTTACAGCTTATTTCAGAGAATGGATACAGATCAGAATCAGTGGAAAGAGGCACGTAGGGAAGAGTACAGGTGACACCAGCACAAGCTTTCAGTTCTCTTCCAGTGCAGTTGTGTGGGCAGCACCTTATTTTCCCAAAGACAATGTGTGAAGTGACAGCACTCAAGGAGTGTTGCCAACCAGGGAAGCTCACGGGGGCTCTGGTGTCTAGGGCTTTATTTTGGGGATCAGTCATGTAGGTATGGCTGACCACTGTGTGGCTGACCTTAGTCACGGAGGTCCCTCCAGAGGTCAGACTGATGCCTCACAGCCCAAGGCCCCCACCACAGATCGCATCATTAGCACACACTGGGGCAGTCCAAGGCTTCAGGTAAACAAATACACCCTTAAGAGGAAGGATGTTCCAAGAGCTCAGAGGTTACTGCCCCGGTGCTCGCAAGGGCCAAACCTTTTTCTGAAATGTGTAGGCTTTGGACATCCAGACCTGCTGAGTTAATTCTTTACTGTGTATCACCACGTATCAAATTCCTCACATACATGTACTTTCTCTACCACTCCAAGCAACACATTTTTTAAAAAAGGCACATAATCTATTTTAACCTTTTCAACCATGCAATTGTGCCAATATCTATTGTTTGAATGGAAGAAAAAGTTCTGGAAAGGTCATATTCAAGTCACATTTGGATCAGATCAAATATCAACTTACATCAGATATTTACCATTAGGCTTTAGAAAGTGAGCCTGGGTTGCGTCACTTCTTTCATTCAAGGGTATTTGGTCCCTAAATCCCCAATGCCCTTGCATGGAAAATTGAGTGATAAACACATGGAGTCAGCATCTTTCTAGGGACCAAATCCATCTGATAAGAGGACACAAATTGGCTAGATAAGGTCAAGAGTCAGAATGTCGTCCGTCGTCATCTTTTTTGTGGAACATGTTTTAATTTTGTTTCCTGGTAGGCACTTCACTTGTTAGATTGTAAAAGATTTTTTTAAAAAATGCACATCTCAGATTCCAAGAAATTGTTCATAGGGTTTTAGAAATCAGCAATTTTGAGGCTCCACTGGGGAACACGAAGTTACTTTGAATTTTCTGTGTGGCTCAGGCACTGGATGAGGTCAGAAGTGATGTTGATGCCGACTGGGAAAGTCTGGACTATAACCTAAGATGTCTGGTCTTCGGTGAGGATTTTGGCTTAAAAAGCATGCGACACTTAACATTTAAAAAAATCTTTAGTAATAGCAGGGGAGAAAAAGAAAAAAAAATTGCCCACTAAAGTATAAATACATTTTAGTCTGTTTTTTAAAAATATAATTTGTCGTCGCGTATCTATATACTTTTAAATTTTGTTCTTTCCACTCAGCATTGTGTCCGAGCAATAGTGTTTTGGTAGAAGGGTGTAAGGCTTTATTTTCAGGCACAAAGATCTTTCTCATTACAGGGACGGGATAGGGTAGGATGGGCAGATTAATGTTCTCTGTTAGAAAGTGGTTAGCATTTTATATTATTTCTTCATTTGGGGTACCACTCAAGGACTGATTATGCCAAGGTATCACTCTGTGGTCTCAACCTGAGAGCATCCTTTCCACACAGGCAGTCCCAAGGCTTGGTGAGAAGCTGTGAGCAAGCTGGGTGCTCTTGGGGGTGAGTCAGTGCAACGGAACTCCCAAACTCTGAAGACTGGGTGTCCCACTGAGTGAGAGGCTTTAGCATTCTGTTAAACGTAGCCAAGGCTTATTTTACAGGAGAGCGGCAGCCACTTTATAAAGTCTTTTTTGAGTAAGAGTGGCCTGTACTTAGCTGAGTTTTAGTTTGTGCTTTTATTAAACAACGATTTTGTCCCTCTCGCTCACAGAGCTCTCTGGCTGAGACGTTGGACAGCACTGGCAGCCTAGACCCCCAGAGATCGGACATGATTTACACCATAGAAGACGTGCCTCCCTGGTACCTGTGCATATTTCTGGGCCTGCAGGTAAAATGCTTCCTTTAGGGTGTAACCACCAGCAGATACTTGAATTATCTGTCTGGATTTTTTAAAATTCAATTTCGATTTTTATTTATTGATGACTTCACTATAAATTAACTCTCTTGAGAATGATGAGTGGTGATTCATGTCGATTTCATCATGGTGAAAAGAAGAAAACGACAGGAGGAGTAGGTTAACCAGGGAATGAAAGAAGGAAAACGTCCAGGGAATAAGGAAGTGACGTGGAGGGAAGGGCCAAAGATCACAGACACAGAAAGAAGGAAGAATAGAGGGAGGAGGAGCAGAGTAAAGAGTTCATTTTCAGCTCTCATTCCTTAGTTAACCAGTCCATAATCGCGGTCCCTTCGTCATGGAATAGGGGTTACACTGAGAAGTACCATATTGTCCAGGACAAATGGGAGGTTTCAGTCCTGTTTTTAAAGGAAGACAAACTTAGTCGTGACAGCAGCTGTTTTTTTCTGCTGCAGCTTCCAGTGGGAGCAGAGCAGGGAAGCTGCCAGGGGAGCAGAGAGGGGACGGCCTGGGGGATGGGGCGGGAAGTGACACATAGTGACAGTCTCTGCAGGGCTCCTCATCTTTGGTACTTTCCCCCATCTTTTGGCACCTTTTTCCCACTTACAGATTGAAGTGGGCTTCAGGGGAAAGGACACGCGATGAGAAGCTCTTTTCCAGGACGCACACCCCTGGCCTGTGTTTACTCTGGTTGACTCTGTTCGGAAGTCTGATTTGCCATTCCTCCTTTCTTAGATTTGAATGATCAGTTCAACCTGGGGTAGTTCAGCTTCTGAGACAGTCTCAGTGCCGACATAGGTTTATTCACTTGGAGATGAGGCTGTACTTGCTGACAGTGATGTTTTGGTCCTGTTTTCAGCCCCCACCCCACCCCCTTTAGCTCTCAAAGCACTGGGTAACCTAATAAAAGGGGAGTTGTGACTAAAGGAGCTGAGTGGTTTTGGTGGATGCTTTCTTTACCTTGGATCGAGCATCCCGAACCAGATTCAAGAAACTTGCTTTTTAAAATGTTTATATTATATTTGTTTCCAGAAGAAGTCTTCCCTGGTCAAATGGGATTGGGAAACCCTGTATGCATCATGCCCTTCCTAATATAGTGTTTGTAAGCTTGTGAGCAGCTCTGAGAAGTCCTAGGTGGGAATGTTTTTTTCCTGCATAAAACACCTATTAGTGTTATGTAGTTGGGTTTTAGGGGCTGCAAGCAACACATTTTGGCAAACAGGAGCAGAAATGGGGAACTATTGGAAAGGAAAGTAGAAACAGAAGTAGAAACTGAACAAGCAGGAAAAGAAGTAGAAACTGAACAAGCAGAAAAGGAAGTGAGCAGGGATTGCTGCAGATGTCCTGCCAGGGTCTCAGGGAGTAGAGGCGGGGCTCCCAAAGGGGCCCCCAAAGGAAGAGTGTGACGGGCTCTTCCTGGAGCATCCCCACAGCTCTGGTATGCCCTTAACCCTTCCCCGATTGTTGTCAAATGCCAGACCATAGAAAAAGATGGAAGACACTCTATGTAATGAACTTTAATCCCCAGACTTGAGAGAATTAAAAAAAAAAAAAAAAGTTGACTATCTCAAGAATACAGATGTAAAATTCTATGTAAAATATTGGCAAATCAAATCTCAGAAGAAAGATATGGCAAGACTGACTAGGGTTTATTTCAGGGATGGTTCAGCACAGTACAATTCATGTTAATAGGTCAGAGGAGAAGGACCTATGATTTTATCAATTGCTACTGGAAAGCATTTGGGAAAAAAGCAAATAATCTCAGTAAGTCGTATAAGTAAAATATTACCAGTGCTTGTATTGAGTACTTCTTTATGCTTGCCTAGATTCATGTGAGCAATAAGTAATAATACCAGGTGAGAGTTATAAGACAAGGAAATGCAATGGAAAGGAGAAATGCTGAAAAAGAAATATGATTTGGTATCTAATATGTGTGTACTTTCTTCACGTACGTTGAGATAGGGAATTAGGGTAGAACCACCAGAAAATGAGGAATGGTTTATTGTCTCCCCTTCTGCCTCTCCGTCACCTGCAGCACTACCTGACATGCTTCAGCGGCACCATCGCGGTGCCCTTTCTGCTGGCCGATGCCATGTGTGTGGGGTACGACCAGTGGGCCACCAGCCAGCTCATCGGGACCATTTTCTTCTGCGTGGGAATCACAACTTTACTGCAGACAACGTTTGGATGCAGGTGAGATTGGGGTACTAAATTGAGACACTGAAGCCCCTGGAAGGCACCTAGCAATGCCGATCACCTAGGACCACTGACTGGAGTTGGGGAGGGTTTCCTAGTTAACCGCGCCCCCCACTAACTCCCCCCTCTCCCTGCCCCCAACCTCCACCATGTTTCTTCTCTTGGCGGATGGCACTACCTCCCAGCCAGCTCTGCAAGCTGGAGACTCAGACTCACTCTCCGCCCCTTCCATCCACTAGCTGGCAGGGCAAGTTCTCTCTCCAATACTCCCTCCCACCCCCTTTCCTTAGTTCAGGCCTGGACTGTTCCAGGAGGTTCCCACTTGGTTTCCTTGCCTCCAGGGCTACTTTCCCTGCTCCACTCTGTGCACCTGCCCCTTGTGCCATCTTTCCAACATTCGCATCTTCCTCAGTGCTGCCGGGCTGTAGCCCTGGTCTCTGTTTAAAAGCGGTGTGTCCCCCCTGTAGTCTTCTTTGCTCTCTGTCCACCCGCCGCCTGTCCCCCTACCCTTCCAGCCATGCCTCTGACCCTGCTGTCCCCTCTCCTGCACTCACCCTGGGGTGAGCTCCTCCCTGGGCCGCCCAGCTGTTCCATCCTCCTGTGCTTGTGCTCCCCAGCAGCCTGGTACACCCTGCTCACCCTGCTGGTCTGGCTTGTCTCTCCCCGTCTGTGAAGCACCTCTGATTCCCCAAGCCTCCTTTGTTCTCGCCTCTGAATTTCCACACATGCGTCTTGTGTACGTTCTTCTACTGTGGCTCTTATTCTCCTTTGTCTTTTTTCGTTTTTGTGTCTTTTCCCACTGGATTGTGCTCCCCTCCTTGGTTCCAGGCCTCTAGCTTATTCACCTTTGCCTCCCTGCCCCCAGCTTAAATGGGTGTGGAGCTGGCCGAGGAAGGGAGGGAACGGTTCTTTTCTGTCACTTCCTGCAGACTTGCTTTGTCTTCTCCTGTCCCTTCTTCCGCCCTCTTCACACTGCAGCCTCTTCCTTAACCCCGGGGCTCTGCTCACAGAGTAGGGCCTGTGGAGACAGGACTGTCCTCAAGGGAAGGGCAGCAGAGTAAGCATGTGAGTTCTCTTTTGCTCTGTTATAGTCTGAGGAAGGGCTTTGCCTTCTCGTTGGGGGAACAAGTTGACTACAGAAGGCTTGAGCGTCATGGACTGTATTCCAATGACTCAGAATCCTCAGGGACCTCAGGAGGCATGCCCGTAATTTGGGGGACAGGAGAACATAGGCAGAACTGTGAGCAGCGTTAGGGCATTCTGGTTGGCGCATGGACGCCACCTTGGGAAGGGAAGTGGTGGCTCCCTTACAGGTCTGCTGATGGAAGGAAGTCACGTGGACTGGAGGCTGTGGGCGCTGGCCAGTTCTTGGAGTTCTCAAAACCCCAGCTCTGTCCTGCAGCCACTGCACTGAGCAGATCCCTTACATTAGAAGGGAGGGTCTCCTCAGGAGACCTGAAGGGATGGGGAGGGGTATCATTGACCTGCTAGAGGAAGGAGATGTGTTCTGCGCATTCCAAAGAGGACTCGATCCATTTTTTTAGAGCCAGGTAGTTAAGTTTGACTGGCAGCATCTTTTATTCTGTTGATATGGTATTCAAGGCTCTGTATTTCAAATCCGGAGTGTACTAAAAATCTTTTGTTGGCTGACTCAGGATCCTTACATAGGGTACTGATTCTCTGGGGAAATGTGTTTTTTCCTGAACAGCTGGTTCATTAAGGAGCTTATAGCCCAGACTATCAGAATTTGGGGCAGTGCCTATAGTTCAGAATTGTTGGTTGATCTGAAGAGGGAATGAAGATGTCTGTTATGGTAAAATACACATTGTGTGTGGCCGTATCCTGGTCTCACGCCAAGATCAACCATAGTCAGCCACATTGTCAACCCTGGTTAAATCAAGTTGTTGGATATTTTAATTCTAACCTGTAATCCCATGGGCAGTCAGAATGAACAGTTCTCACTGTAAAGCAGTGGCTTACAGTATGTGGCAAATGATGGTTTCTTCTCTTTCACACATGGGGGAGTGGAACAAGCGAGCATGAGAAGTTAGAGGGACCTGCACAGCTTTATGACCTTGGACAGATGACCTCTCCCGCTCTGTTTCCTTTTGTGAAAATGAGAGGAGACTCTTCCTAAAGTATCCTGTGGATGACATTTTGCCATTATTTTAATGGACCTATTGTGATTTTACAGATTATTATAAACATCCTAAAATACGTTTGGGAAGTTAGAGAATATCAGTAATATGAAAAGTGTTGTAGTTTTGCTAAATGCTAACACCGACCCTCATCACAGGCTGTGGATGGTCATTTTAACAGGCTTGTGTTGTTTGCTTCCTGGTCACAACAGGATCCAGTAAACCAATAAAGCAGTTGGAGCAGAGGGAACGTTAGGGTGGGGCAGAGCAGGAGCGAAGTGCTAATGTAGCCGAGAGTGGGGTTTATTCCCAGTATCTCAGCCATAGGATCGCCGATGGCCTGTGCATTTCTGATTTTTGGGGGTGGTTTTAGGGCAGTTCAGCACTCATTCCCTTAGGCTTAGAGCAGCAGCAGAAAAAGCTTTTCATGGTCAGCTTTCACAATTTCTAAGATTTTCAGACTTTTCCGACTCAGAGTGGTTTATTGGTGCTGTGTGTAAGTTCTGTACACTTCTTTGTGTATTTGCCTACCACCTGCCACACACCCGATACTGTATCACACTGGATACAGCAGCTGCCTGGGACGTAAAGATCAACCACGGTCCATGCTTGTGTGGATGGGTCCTTTATTTTGAGGAAGTTAAGACAACTGCAGGTCTAGAGCAGAGAAAGGAAGAAAGTGTAAGCATCCCAATTTGGCTGTGGCCAAGCCATCCCTCCTCCTCCCTCCTCATTTCACACAGGCACCCTGGAGAAGAGGGGCATGCTGTTTCTGGACATCTGTTTCATGCCATAAAAATAACCAGAATCGATAGGGAAACCAGGAAGGGAACACAGACATGTGCCTCTGCAGACCTGAGCACGAGCTCAGACTGCCAGCTGACATAAGATGTCACTATGTCACAAACGCCCCTTCGGGGGCATGTTTCCCACGGGCTGGGCTGAGGCCACACAAATGCGTCTGGTCCAGTGCAGGCCGCAGACCCTCCTTCCTTCACTGCACTTCTCCCCTGGCACGAGAGTAATAGCTCCTTTCCTTCGGGGACCGTGACTGCTTTTGAAATGGAGGTTGTGGGTCTCAGCCCCACTCGTGTGACTTCCATGGCTTTAGTGCTTCCCTGAGCCTCTGCCTGCAGGGGAGTGGGTGTTTTCTGCCATACCTGCTTCTTTCACCTTCTCCTTCTCTCACCTTTTTCTCCTTCCTCCTCCCCTTTGACCTTGCTCTCCTGTCCTCACTTTCAACCAAGTCTTCACTGAGTTCCCTTGAATGAGGTTTCAGCAATCTGTGGTTCTGTTTGATTAGTGATGTCAGCCCCACCCACCACCGCTTGGGTCTGTTCCAGGAATTAGTATAAAGCCTTGGAAACCCTGATCTGGGCAGGGGTGCTAGCCCGCAGCAGTCTCCTCTCAGCTGCAGGGAGGACTCGGCGGATGCATCACCTTGGCTGCCTTTGCCTTTCCCAACAGAGACTAAGTCTTGGTAACAGCTCCCAGTTTCCCAGAGTCCCCGCCCCTGACCCCAGGTGTCATTGCAGAGCTGGGGGGTGAAGGAGGGCCCTCCAGGATCCTGCCCTTCACCTGCCATGCTGACCTTCCCTGAGGCGTGGTAGGTGCTGTGTTTGGGGGGCCACCTACAGCCTTTTGCTCCAGGAGCCTTTTGGAGGCATCACTGTGAGCGCTTAAGCAAACGAAAAGACTGCAGGTAGGGTGGCCTCTCCCAGGGGAGCGTCTCCTGGCCATCACAGGCCTGTTATAGACACACACAACCTTCCTTTGCTGAGAAAAGGTAAAGTTTTCAGCAAAAGGGTCATTGTAGCCAGTGCAGCAGCCTGGCGTGTAACTGAGTTGTCCACCCTGAGGAGAGAGCTCCCGTCTTCCATCTCCTTGGGCTCTGGGGGCCTGGTACACACTGCGTGCTCGCTGAGTACAATGATACCTCAAAGTCTCAAGTCTGGTGCTTTGAACTCTAGTTAGCTATTGATAAAACTTAGCAGAATGGAAAAATGCAATACTTAGATTGAGTTGGCGGAGACTGGAGTTTAACCCCAAATTCTTTTTCCTGTATATAAGTGTAGGTTACATGCATTTAAAAATATTTTATTATTAGTTTCAAGTATACAGTACATTGGTTAGACTTTCATGCATTATTTTGAACTTTAAAGTTGCAGATAGCGTGCCGGCTCACCCCTGCATACTGTCCTGGGAATGAGGGTCTCCTGTATAACCATTTACCACAACAGCCGTTCTATCATGTCATCTAATGTGCAGGCTATATTTAATTTCCCAAGTTGTCCCTAAAATATTTTTTACGACTTTTCCCTCCACTTCCTTGAACCAGGGTCCAGTCAAGTTCATGTGGTGCATTTGTTTTTGCGTCTCTCTAGTCTCAACAATAAACAATTCCCACCTTTTTCCTCCATATTACCACCCTTTTAAGGAGTCTAGGCCAGTTGTCTTGTCAAGTGTCCTGTGGTCTGAATTTGTCCAATTGTGTCCTTGTGGTGGCATTTGATTTGTTCCACAATCCCCCTTATTTGTTGGAAACTGGAAGATGGGGCTAGAGGCATAGTTGATGCAGGGTGAACATTTTTGCCAAAATTATTGTATAAGTGACTTCACATTCTGTGATGTCATGCAGGCACACAGTAACAAGTTGTGGGTTTTTCCCACCAAATTAAAAAATTACTGTTCATTCGACTCATAATTTTTTATGTAGTATGTTAAAGAAATGGGGCCGGTGAGAACCTGGAGGTAATGACCTTGGAGGAGGGAGCTTTGCCTTGCTCCCCTAACCAACTGCGTTGGGAAGCTCTGACCTTAAAGATGGCATTGCTATCGTTCTACCATTTTCATGTGACT